AATAAGATACTGGCAAACAGAATGCAGAAGATCATCAAGAAGATCATACACCCTGATCAAGTGGGAATCATCCCAGGGATGCAGGGACGGTTCAACATATGCAAATCAATAAATGTAATACACCATATTAATAGAGTCAAGGATAAAAACCATATGATCATCTCAATAGATGCAGAAAAAGCATTTAACAAAAATCCAACACACATTCATGATAAAAACCCTACAGAAAATTAGAATAGACAGTTTCTATCTCAACCTGATAAAAGTCATCTATGAAAACCCAACAGCCAATATCATACTAAATGGTCAGAAACTAAAAGCCTTCACATTAAAATCAGAAACAAGATGAGGATGTCCACTATCACCACTCCTGTTCAATATAGTTTTGGAAATATTAGCCACAGCAATTAGACAAGAGAAAGAAATAAAAGGAATAAAAATAGGAAACGAAGAAATTAAATTGTCTCTCATCTTTTTTTTCTTCCAGAAGAGCCCTACATTTTAAATCTACATGTTTTACATGTAAATCCTAGAGATCTTTGAGAGACCCTGCCTTTACTACCTTATTAATGCTTTTTTCAAATGTTTCCCTGGGATATTAAGGATGGCTAATCTTGCAATATTTTTCAAACTCTAAGATTAACTTCTTTTTGAAACATATGATTTATAGACATTAAGAAAAAAATTTCTATTGAAATAATTATAGTTTTATGTGAAGTTGTAAAAAAAATCACCACAGAGGGGTACAGGTACCCTTCAACTCATTTCCCCCAGTGCTTACATCTGACACATCTCTAGTAAAATAACAAAACCAGGAAATTGGTATTAGCATAATGGATACATATAATTGTATACTAGGTCATTTTACCACAGATGTATATTGAGTAACCCATACTTCATAAAAATACAGAGCTATTCCTTTACCCCAGCCGTCTCTATCTCTGACATGCTAGCCCTTTGCAGTCAAATTTTCTGCCCTTTTCCACTCCTGAACCCTGGTAACCATTAATCTGTTTTCCATGTCTATTATGTTTTCATTTAAAGACTGTTATATAAATGGAATCACATATTATCTGACCTTTGAAGATAGTTTTTTCTTAGTCACCATACTGCCCTTGCGATCTTCCTGGAACTTAATGAACGTTTGTACCCCTTAAGAAACCCTACTCATCAAAGGATGGTATTACGAGTTGGGACCTTTGAGAGGTGGCTGGTCCACCAGTGTGACACTCTCATGTTGGGGATGAGGGCTGTTATAAGAAAGACCCCGAAAAGCAGTAAGCTCCTCCCACCATGTGAGGACATAGAGACACCATCTGTGAGTCAGGAAATGGGCTTTTGCCAGCGCTACATCTGCCAGCCCTTTAATCTTGCATTTCCCAGCCTCCAGGAGTGTGATAAATAATTTTTGCTGTTTATAAGCCACCCAGTTCATGGTATTTTGTTATAGTAGACTCAGTCTTTTCAGACAAGATCGTTGAGTACATTGATGCTTTGCTCCCTTCCATTGACTAGAATTTCATGCTATTTAGCACAGTTTGTTCAGGTATAATTGAAAGACATTTTGGTTGCTTTTAACTCTTAGTCATTGAAAATAAATTACTGTGGCTGGGTACAGTGGCATACACCTATTATTTCAGTCACTGAGGAGGGTGAGACAGGAGGATCACAAGTTCAAGGTTATCCTGAACTTACCAAGACAGTGTCTCAAAACAAATTAAAACCAAAATGGGTGGAAGTGTATCTCAATACTCTCTGTGTTCCATCTCCGGTACCAAAAAGGAAAAAAATGGTGTTATAAATAACTGTGCACAGGTGTTAGTGTGCTTTTTATTTTTATTTTATTTTACTTGGATAAGTGCAAGTGGAAGCAGTTATTAAATTATGTCATAGGAAATGACATTGCCAAACTATTTTCAAGAGTGACTTTATTGTTTTACATTCCAACCAGCAATGTATGAGAGAGCCAGTTTCTCTGTATCCTCATAGACCTTTGTGGTCTTAATTTGGGCTTCTCTATTGCTAGTGATGTTAAACATTTTTTAAAACTCACCAATTAATTATATAATCTCTTGAGTGAAGTGTCTTATTTTTTGTCCATTGTATACTTTCTTTATGTTTTGGGGGGGTTGATTTGCTTTGTTTTCTGTTTGTTTGTATTGAGACAGTGTTTCACTATATATTTTAGGCTGGCCTTGAACTCAAAATGTAGACCAGCCTAGCCTTGAAGTCACAGAGATCTCCTGAGTACTGGGCTTTCGGACATCATGACCAACCTTGGCTTGTATATTTTCATTTTATTTTTGAAATTTGTAGAATTTGTTACATTTTCCAGTTATAGTTCTTTTGTTGAAGATGTGTTTAAAAATACTTTACCCCTGCCTATAAATTCTCTTTTTATCCCCTAAACTTGGTCTATCATAGAAAATGTTTTTAATTTTGATAAATCTTGCATATATATTTTCATTATTATTATGTTTATAGTATTATCTCTAGAGATTCTTCATCAAGGCTTATGTCTCAAAGATTTTTTTAATACAGGCTTTCTCTAAAAGTTTTGTAGTTTTAAGTTTACATTTAAATATGTAATCTATTTTGTATTATTTTTTGTACAAATTCTGAAGTGTAAGTTGACATTGATTGTTTCATCTAGGAATATTCATTGTTCCTGCACTATTCTTGAAAACACTATCTTTCCTTCGTTGAGTTGTCTCCACACTTTTGTCAAAAATCTTTTGGTTGTACATATGTGGAGCTATTTTTGAATTATCTATTCTGTTCTATTAATCTATTTGACTGTCTTTCTGCTCTTATTGTGAAATATTTTTAATATAACCATATAATATATATAGAATTTGAGTGGAATAATTTCAAACTTTATTCTTTATTTTTTACTCTCTCAAACTTTATTCTTCTTTTCCAAAATGATTTTAGCAATTTTTATTCTTATGTAATTCATATATATTTTAGAATAATCTCATCTACATGTACAATACAAAACTGAACTGAAAACCAAAATCAAAATTCTTTCTGGGATTTTGATAGGAATTACTTTTCACTAACATATCAGTGTGGCATAAATTACATCTCATGCTGTCAAGACTTTCTACCCATGCACTCATTATGTCTCTCAGTTTATGCTTCTTTGATGTAGTATTTAGTTTTCTAGTTTTCAGGAAGAAAGTTCTGTAAATATTTTGTTACATTTACTCATAAGTGTTTCATCTTTTAAGTGATTGTAAATGTTTTGCATGTTTAATTTTAGTTTCTGCATTATCATTTGTAGCATATAAAATACAATTTTTTTGGATGTTGCTAGTATATCCTCTTACATGACAAACTTTACTTCAAGGTGTTTCTTTAGAGATTCTTTAGGATATTCTAGGTAATCATGTAATCTACAGATATGCATACTCTCTTTATTTTCATTTTACATGGATTATACCATTGCTTCACCATACTATTCAGGATTTCCATTATTAAATTAATAGCATCCTTGGCTTATTTGAAATTTTAGAAAAAACTCCAATCTTTAATATTTAAATGTGATGGGGCCTGGAAGTTTTGTAGAAATTTGGCCTCAAGTTAAGGATTATATTCTCAGGTTATTAAGAATTTTTAATCACAAATGAATGTTAAATGTTTGAAAATATTTTTTTCTGTGAGGAATGATATTATCTTTTGAATTATCTTATATAGCCTGTGGATATAATAATTACATAGATTACATTTTGAATAATGAAGAAACTTTGCTTTCCTGGAATAAATCCCACTCTGTCATGCTTCATAATTCTTTTTATATATTGCTAGATTTTATTGGATAATACCTTGGTAAGGCTATTTCCATCTACTTGTACAATATTGATCTATAAGTTTATTTTTTTCTCTCTTCCTGACTTTGGTATCAGAACTACATTGAATATTTAAAATGAATTCCTAAGATTTTCCATTTACATTTAAGGAAATATTAAAAGATTGAGTAGAATTATTGTCAGTTCTTCTTTAAATATTTGACATAATTCTACAGTAAAATCATCTAATTTTGGAGATTTCTTTCTATATAGTGCTTTTTGGAGTGCTGGTCCATATCACCTAAGTTCTCAAATTTATGTATAACACTGTTCCTAGTATTCTCATAATTTTCTTTTGACTTATGCAGAATCTTTAGCTATTTTCTTAATATTGTTATTCTCTCTCTCTCCCTCCCTCCTTCCCTCCCTCCTTCCCTTCCTCTGTCTTCCTAGAGGCTACTCAATTTTATTGATCTTTTCAGAGACAAATTTGAATCTCATTGCTTTTCTACCTTGTTTTTATCTTTTTAATACACTGATTTCTGCTGCCATCTTCATAGAATCCTTCTCTGTTTCCATTGAGTTTTCTTTGATCTTTACTTCCTAGATTCTTGAGGTAGGGGTCTATATAATTGACATGAAACATTTTTTTCTTTGCTAATATCAGCATTTAGTGGTCAAAATGGCACTCTACACATACTTTAGTTGCATGCAACATATGATATGTTGTTTTCATCTTCATTCAATTCAAAGCATTTTCTTATTTTATTTGAGAACTTTTTATGACTCGTGGTTTATTTAGACAAATTAGTTAAAAGTAAATGAAGGTTTTACCTTTTGCCCTTTTGTTATTGTTTATTATTTCATTATTTTTACCTTTTGGGGGGTGGCAGAGGGGCTTTTACTATGGGCCTTGAGCTCATTATATGATCCAGGCTGGCCTCAAACTCCCAGCAATCCTCCTGCTTCAGCCTCTTAGTGCTGGGATGATAGGCATGCACCATTACATCTGGATGTTATTGATTTCTAATTTCATTCCATCATGCTTTCAACACGTCTGGATGATTTATTTATTTTAAATGTTTTCATGTTTTTCTTTAGGTGCAGGATATGGCTTATCTTGGTGTACATTCCATAGGCAATAGAAAAAAAAATAAAGGTTTTCTGTCATAGATTGGAGTATTCTACGAATAGCTATTAGGGTCTATGGCTTTATGATGTTTTCTTTTATTGGAAGATTTTCTATCTAATGGCTCTGTCAGTTACTGAGAGAAAGAGGTATTACAATCTCCAATTATAACTGTGGATTCATTTCTATTTTCAGCACTATCGTTTTTTGCTTTACATGTTTCACATCTGTTGTTTAGGGCATACATATTTAAGATTTTTATGTATTCTTGCTAGAACCGAAAGCTTTTTATATCCCTTATAAATTTTTAAGTTGATGGCTATTTTCTGTACTATCAGTGTAGCCATCCTTGCTGTTTTTCAGTAATTATGGCCTAATATTTCCATTATTTTACTTTCAACCTACATAAATTATTTATATTTGATTTAGATCTTTTTGACAGCATATAGTTGGGTTATTATTTTTTTCTCCACTATGCCAATATCAGTCTTTAATAGTATATTTGTGTCATTTATGACTATAATTATGGAGATATATGGGCTTACATATGTAATTTTATCTTTTGTTTTTAATTTTGGTTCATCTATTTTGTGCTTTTCATTGCGTCCCTTCGCATGATTTTTTTAGTAACTTCTCATGATAGTAATATATATATATTTATATCAGTGTGCTGGGTGTTGGTAATCAGTTCAAGTCAAATATAAAAACCTTAACTTACTATGTATCCCTTTCTCTTCCCTGTTATATTATGAAGTCTTATATATTTCTTTTATATATAGGAAGAATCAAATCAGACAGTGTTAAGATTCTCACTTCAACCATTACATATGAATTTGGAAACTCGAGAATTAAATATACTGTATTTTCTTCATTTTCACTCAAATTTTTCCTTCCTGATATTCCAGGATTACATATTTCATCATTTTTTTTGTTTGGGGAACTTCTTTAAGCTTTTCATTTAGGACTTGTCTAATGTCATTAGATACATTTAATGTTCTTTCATCAGAGAATGTTTTGATTTTTCCTTTATGATTGAAAGATTTTTTATATGGATACAGATTTTTGGATCCACATTTTTTTCCTTACATTATTTGGAATGGTAAGTCACACTGGATTACATTATTTCTAGTGTAAAATTTATTTTTTCCTTCCTCTTTTCAGGATTTTTCTCTTTCTCTTTAGTTTTGACACATCTGCTTATTTTGAATCTTAACATGGATTTCTCTCACTGTAATCTTGTTGATACCAGTTATTTGAATCCATAACTTTATACCAGTCCTTAAATTTGGGAACAATTTATCCATTCTTCTTCAAATATGTTTTTATCCTTGCCCTCTTTCTCCTTCTCTCTGTGTACTATAAGTATGTAAATGTTAGACACTGAATTATAGTCTTTTTGGTGCTCAAAGGAGTCTTTTAAAAAATGTTTGTCTTCTCTCTGCATAACATATATTTTTATCACTCTATATTCTAGTGCGTTATTTCCTTGCTATTCTGCATTGTGTTGTTGAACCAAGCCACTTAGCTTTTTTTCTTTTTTTTCAGTCACCTTATTTTCAGTTCTTTTCCAATGAGTTGTTCTTGGCATCTTCTATTTATTTACTAATACTTTATATTTCTTTGCTGAAAATTTTTATTCTTTTAGGTATGTTTATAATTGCCTGTTAAAGAATTTGTATGATGGATGGCTACTTTAAAATCCTTGTCAGATAGTATTAACATGTCTGTAATTTTGGTATTGATACTCATTGATTAAATTTTCTCTTTAAAATTTGAGATTTTCCTGTTTGTTGGTGTGATGAAAGATCAAGCATTGGGCTATTTTATTATGAGAGCCTGGGTCTGTGTCTTATTTGAATCCTATTTTCCTTGGTTTCCTCTAACTCTAGGGAAGAAGAACAGTTCTACTTTTCCACTCCAGGTTTGTATGAAATCCAGGTTCCCCAACCAGCCACCACTGGCATCTGAGAAGGAAGGAATCTTTTAAGTTTCTGGATGGGAAAATATAAGAATTCTCACTTACAATAGGTTCCCATTGATACCACCCTGTCTGAAAGGGATGGGTTACCTCACTACTGCTTCCAGGTAACTTCTATGATTGACAGGGACATTTTCCCTGCTTTTTAGTAGTGAAAACCTGACCTTTGTCTAGGCCCCTTTGACATCAGCCAGTGGGGAAGAGGAGGGTGCCCCACTATCATACATTGGGGGGTTCTTATATTCTTTCCAGTGACACCAGTGCTCTGAGGAAGAGGATGACTCAGAGCTTAGCCACCAATAATATCATTGTATTAGTTTGCTAAAACTTCCATTGCAAAGTACCACAGAGTGTGTGGATTAAATAGCACATTTGTGTTCTCACGGTTCTGGGGGCTAAACGTCCAAGGTCAGGATGACTGTAGGGTTGTTTCTTTTGAGTCTTCTTCTTATGCTTGTAGATGAGTTTCTTCTCTCTCTGTCATCACCTTTGTCACTTTGGAAGCCTATGTCTGGTGTCTCAGTGTGTCTTCAACTTTTCTTCTTATAAGGACATCAGTAATACTGGAGTAGAGCCTACACTAATGACCATATTTTATTTATATCTTTGAACTTCCTGTTTTGAAATACAACCACTTTCTGAAGTGCTTGGCATTAGGGCTTCAACATATGAATTTTGGGGCATACATCTCAGCCCACAGCCCCTTTTTTGCCCTTCTCTGATAAGACTGCAGCCTCAGAGTTAGTTTAGCTGGCAAAGTAGGAGTGCAGACTCTCCTCTTAGGGTTTACTGCTGGCACTGGTATGAGAAAACAGTTGCTGCCACCTGCTCCAGTGGTGCTTGACTGGAGTAGAGTTTATCTAAGAGTTTTCTGTCTTGCTAGGCTGGTGGAAGCATTTTTTGTCTGTGCTTGGTCTTATATCTGGTCAATGATTTTTCTGACATCAAATCTTAGACATTTGGAGCTACGAGAAAACTCAGTGAACTCATGGCTGTGTTGTTCCCAGGAGCCTGTGGTGTCCTATCCATCTTCTTTCTTCTCTTCAAATTTCAGAGTATTCTTCAAAAAGTTCTGTCATATACCTGAGTGGTTTAGTTGCACACCATGGAAATAATTGGAAATAGAATTCTACTCCATTTTCCCAGAACTAGCACTACAGAGGGCTAAATGAACCAATTGCTAAATGATATGTTTCTACTATTAAAGTTATTGTTTAAAACTTAATAAATATGCTGCTTTTATTATAATACTGGAAAAGAATGATGATTTTTATATGTAAATTATTTTCTCAATACTATGAAATTTATTTGTTTATAAATCACATTAGTTTTATTACATTATTGAACCCTATATTCATGATTATCTATTTTATAAAAACCAAGTTGTCAAATTGTAATGATTATAAGCAGCACAAGGCAGGGTTAATGGGATATTTAAAAATTTATTTCTTTATACTGTATTTCAATTCATCTTTTTACTTCTCATTACATAATAAGTTTTCACATATATATATATATATATGAAGAAAAATTTATTGAAGAAAAACTATGTTGAAGTTATAGAGAAAAGTTAGCATGAAGAACATTTTGCCAGGTCTAAGAAAGCTACGCTTACACTGGCTCCAGTCACCATCTGTCAGATCTCATGTTCAAATTCTTGGAGTGCCTTTCATAAGTAGTTGTTCGGTAATTATTTCCTCTTTCCCTTCCTTGTACACACATTGCAACAAATATACATAATTTTATGATCTACCACTGATGAAGCCAAAATACCAAACATTCCACCTGGGAGAAATCAAAATGACATTAACAACTGCAGCAGAGTCAATAACTTACCACAGAAGGAGAGAGAACCAGGCTTTCAGGCACTAAGCATTTTACATACATTATTCAATACTCAAAACTCTAAAGCCAACTAAGGTTATGTTAGAAACTCAGAAGATTTAGTTGTGACCTATTTCTATTTTTTTTTTTTTTTAGTATATTTAGATCGTTAAATGTTGGCTACATATTTTCTGCTTGTTCTTCTAGATTTCTTTTCATTTGTCTCTGTGCCCTGAGGAGACCTGGCCCTGTGAGTCCAGTGACAATGTATTCTTTTGCCAATGAGAGACCTGGACAGGACATACAAGAATGGGAGGAAAATGATGTTGGTGTATTTATTCCCATGATCCTCTCTTGTCCAGTTGCTGCCTAGCATTTGTGTCTCTGAACCTAATGTTGCAATCCTAGTTGCCATAGCATTTTATAAAACCCCTTTAATGATATGTCTTTATTAGCTCATTTGAAGCTGACATGTATTTCTAGTCTTATTCCATGTAGATTCATCCATATATGAAATTTCATTTTGATCTTTTATAAATAGAATTTCAAAAGTGACTTTCAATGGCTTCTATATAGTATATTTTACAATTCCTTGCAAAATGCATGTGTTTCTACCAAAATATTGTAGAAAATGTTCTAACAATTTTTTTTTTAAGAATATAGTTTTCAAATATGGTTCCTATCTCAAACACTTTTCTTGGTCTAATTTAGAGAATTGCATTTTGGAAATCTGGAATCCAACACTTTTGTAATAACTGAAGTCAATTTTGGATGTTAAACATAACAAAGTCTGATAGCTAAATAAATAAAAACAAAACAAATAATTTGAATGATTATAATATATTTCTTGTATGATTCTTGCTGTTATCTTTCCTATTAATTTCCAATATTCAGCCCTGTATGCTTTCAGGCAAAATTGGAAAGTTGTAATTAATTTAACCACCTGTGTGAGGCACCTTTGTTGACTTATCATGAGGTTTCTTTGGTAAGGCATGGAGGGTGTAGATCCTGGCTCTGTTTTAAATTCATAATGTTCTGTGTTTGATATTTAGCTTTGTGTAATTTGGCTTACATAGAATTCTTTGAGATTATTCCAAAAGTTAATTTGTTTTGTTCTTTCTTTTTTTCCCAGAAATCAAGAGTTACTTTGCAAATTGTGCTTCTGGGTGTTTTTAAAACAGATAGTGTGTTTTTTGACCAGCCTCATTTCAGTTTCCTACATGGCCAGCTGCTCAAGTGTACTGCCGTCATCCATCAACTCCACATGTCCAAACTAACAAACCTGAATTGCTCTCGGCATTGCTTCCAAACTGGTAGCTGGCGGACATCCAGCTGCTCTTTGTTGGTGAGTTTGTGTGCTAATATCCCATAGGTAAAAACTGTTTAAACTGGTTAAGAAGCACCTTGTAGTGAAGATTGGAAAATTTTTGACCTCAAATATGGTCAGAGATAAATCTAAACATGGCTGTTGTTACTGAGGATCAAGGTCTTTTAAAGAACAAAGTTTCAGAACTTCTGACTGTGGATGAATAATGGAACTAATGAGTATTAGTGCCCTTTGTAGTATCATGTATGTACAATGATATGGACATCATCCCCACCCTTCTCCAGACCCATAAACAAATAGCTTGACACTAAAAGAACCTCAGAACTTAGTCCTTCCATAGTCCTCTTTTCTGTTATTGTTCTGCAGTCAGGCAGCAAAGATGATTGAGACGTAAGTCATGGACAGTGATGTGGGTTTGGAATTCTAAAGCAATGCAACAGCAACCAGTGTAGGTGAATGTTCATTTCTGATAAGTATTTGTAATGTATCACAGCATTTCATATTTCCTATTAATAAAGTTCTTAAGCTTGAATAGTCTGTACATACCTTTTTCAACCATAATTTACATTTTCATAAGCATTTCTACAAGAATAGCAACTATTATTCATTCATCTTTGAATCTCCCCTGCCAATTTGTTCTAGTGGTAGTAGTTTATAACCAGACATAGTCTGGGTTCTCAGTCCAAAATTTTATTAGACAGAAAACTAAAAATGCATAAACAATAAACATTTATTATTTCCAGAGAATCTTTTATTGATGGTGTGGCATTTCCATCATCAAATCATTTTCTTTCTTAATCTATTGTGTTGCCAACAGTCATCACAATTATTGAAACAGATTCTAAAAATTCTTTGCTATTCAAGGTTAACTGCATTGCATTTGATTGCTGGTGATTTGAGAAATAATTGTGGCTCTCTTTGAAAATGACTAATAAATACAAAGATAGAAAGTATTTTGTGGAGTAGAATTTTTAGACTATTAAACTAATTAAATTGAATGAAAGGAACATATAAATATTTTTGAGATTAGAGCCATATACTACCCATGGATGAAATGATCTATGAATCACTATAGTCGAGTGGACAATAAACTATAGAAAGGGAGATTGAAGCAAATAACTAGTTAAAGGAAAGTACAACAGTCTAAGCAAGAGATTAGCATGCCTTGGGCTAGATGATGCTCCTAGATTATGGACCATACTGGCAGAAGATTTTGACAAATCTCAGAAAGAGAGGTGAGCAAGCTACAGAATGTGTATGTAAACACTTCTGGAAGGATCTGAGGAAACTACGTCATACAAACTTGTTCTGCTACCAAATAGTTATGTTCCTTTAGGCAGAAATTTAAAAATTCTTTCATGCAATTTTCCATTTCAACCCTCAGTGTTAGAACTCAATTATCACCACAATAACATCCATCTCTGACCGTCTGTGTTTCTCAACAGACTAGGGCAAAGGAAAATACGTGAACATCAGGACTCCACTACAGAAATGGAATGTCTTATGCCATCTTCTTATTAATTCCCAGGGAAACATTAAGAAACTAGTGTAACATTACTGTTACACAAAACACAGAAGAAGAAAGTTAAAAGATATTTTTTAAAGAATGAAAAATTAAAGCACAAAACGATGCAAAAAAACCCCACCAAAAACAACTACTCCTAGGAGCATATTCTTGATTTTTGTTCGAGTGTCTATAATTATGCAATCTAGAGTCTCCAAATGAATTAAACATACCTTAACCATTTTAATGAATCAGAAAAGAAAGGAAAAAATGCAGCATTTAAATTCTTTTTTAATATGATGACTCCTGAGAATTTTATTGACTTCAGTGCACTTTTTGGAATTTGAGTTCATTTATAATCAAACTAAAAAAATGTTTTGAAATCCTATTTAGGAGCTCAAAAGAATTATTGGACCCTGAATAACTTTCATTACATGACATTTTGATAAGGTCATTGTAAATGAGTCAGAAACATGGATTACATTTCTTTAAAAACACACATCACTTCAAAACAGATTTGGCCCAAATTCGTTTTCACTTTTGCTGAACCCCAAAGGCTTTTCCTTCTATTTTTTTCCCCTCTAAATTCTCCAGTAAACTAGCTAAACCCATAATCTAGGTGAGCTCACCTGCTTCTTCCATACACTTCCCTGTTGAGTTTAGCCTCAGGCTTTTCTTTAATACCATGTGCCCTGAAAGCAGAGAGTCCTATAGCAAGAATCAAGAGGAGTGCAAAGTCTAATGAAAGCCTGGGAATATTTTGTTATTCTTTTAAAAAGGAGCACTCTAAGGGAATGATATTGTTGCAGAGTACTGACTCAAATCTGTTCTGTATTCGAGCTCTGATTATGAAATTTCAATTAATGCTATAAAAAGCAAAGCTAACAGACACCAGAGCATGCCGAAGAAAAACAGGATGTTCTCTTTTGATTGGGAAATAATTATCTAAACTCCATGTTTAGGCCCAGGTAGCTGAGTTCACATTTGCTAGACTCATTACAGAAACAGCTGAATTATGTTTAGTTTTTCCCAAGCATCCAAGCTGTCATTCAAAGTGGTGATTTTATTGGGGTGCAAATCCCTTTAGTTACTGCTTCAGTCCATTTTGAAAATGGATTTGAAGCCTGCGGGGAAGTACAAATAAAGACAGAATCTGCTCTCTCTGCAACATCCCGGGTCTGTTCTGCCCGTCTAGCCCAAGGCAGCCGCTGGGGGCACCGCCTCATCAGCGAGGGTATGCATTATCTCCATGGTTCCAGCAGTGAGATGCGAGTGCAGACCTTAGCTTTCTTACTCAAAAACCACTAAGCTGATTGGATTATGTCTTTAGCACCAGAATGAATCTCCCAGAATCTTCATGACTTAGTCATTGAAACACAAGGCTTGGGTGTGAGGGAAAGTAGAGATATTGAAAACTTTTAGGTTAGCAGATAAGCAGAAACATTGGTAATTTCTTTCCATCTCTTCATCCTGAGGGCAAAGGAGAGAGGGAGCAACTTTTTAAAATATGAGGAATTACCTTCTTTTCCCCAGTTTTTAGAATTTGAGCATCATTTGTAAAGAGCTAGGTGTGGTGGCACATGTGTGTAATTCCACCTACTTGCTACGAGGGAAGCTGAGACTGGAGAATCCTAAGTTTGAGGCCCATCTGTACAATTATCGGAAACTTGGCTCAAAATAAAAATAAATATGTAAAAGAGCTAGGAGTGTAGTTCAGTCATAGAGTGCCTTTTTGCTGCAGGTTGAATTGCCGATATCTAAATCAATTAATCAATAAACAGATAACTAAATCTATGAAAATTAAGTTGCAAATGGTTCTCAAGGAATATTTACATAAGCACCATTTGAACTAGAAATATAGTGGAAAGGATGAACAAAATTAGACAAGGTTACTCTCTTCTCTACTCACTAGAAATTGACATAATCTGCTTAAGAGAAATGGAAATATTCTTTATCTCTGTCCCCTGCCCCCTCCCTTCCTCCCTCCCTCCCTCTTTTCCTTTCTTCCACCTTCTTCCTTTCTTCCTTTCTTTTGTCAATAGAGTAATAACATCTCAAGATATACTTGAGAAATAGATGCCTTATTGTTAAAAATTGTTACTTTTAAATATAAATACCATCAAGATATAGTTTAGAAGAAAATTTTGAGATAAATAAGAATGCTAATGTGTATGCTATTTACATATATGTGTACAGATGATAAACTTGTGAACACACATGCACAAACACATATTACTTTTAGAATATAAATGACTTCTCAGAAGATCATTAATTCTATCCATTTGCTTCATGGCAACATTAATATAAATAATTTCAGGTATCAGATTTTGTATTATCTCGATACCTCATGATATATTGAGAGATATGAGAGGAGATATATACAAACATTCTTCATTCCACATCATCTAACCTAAATTCTTCCTATTTTAATCTTAGACTTTTTTTCCCTTGGTCATTCATTAGCAGAAATAGTCATGAGACTCTGAACAGTAGTATTGATATAAATCCTTGAAATCAGCTATCACCATCCATTAGAAATCTCTTTTCTGCTCAAATCATTCTTGTAAATGTCTCTAGATAAACCTTATGATCCAAGCTTTCCATAAATATCATTGTTCTTCCTGGATACCCCTTTCATGTTGTAAAATCCATGTTAAGTCACAGACATGTTAGCTAATGTCTAAAGATGAAAATTATGTTGGTTTCCATTTTATTCTTTCCTGAATTCAGCATGGCTATTGCCCAACAGTGAAATACTGCTGAATCTCCTTTAAGTTGTATCCTATTTGAACCAGAAAATCAATTAAATTTCATGAAGAGTAATTACTGAATGTCTAGTACAGATGTATACTAGGCATTCTTTTCTGTAAATGCCTACTATATCTTTTGTGCTCATGCCAATCAATTCTGATTTTAAGAAAGAAAAGTTTTGAATCATAACATAGAAATTAGTTAACTACAGTCTTGACATATGCTGTTAAAGTAAGTTCAAAATTCACCTTTTTTAAAGAAAAGTTCTACAGTATATCCTCTTCTTTTAGATAGATAGTGTATATTTGATTATTAACTTAACAAGCCTGATAGTAAATAAATCTGTTTAATTATGATGCAATCCATTATAAAATTATCCAAAAATTTCTTATAAATATATGAAATAATTGAGTGAAATTTTATTTATAGGAAATTGAACTCAGACTAAAGAGAATTTGAAAGTGGATAATTACAAAATGAAGGAATAGATAAGCTTTATTAAGCATGGACCACTAAGAGAAAAATCAACAAATTAATGACACTATGCAATAAAAGAAAACCTTACTGTTTTAGTTTGTATAAAATTCAGAAATCTGAAACTCCAGGGAGGTTACTTAGGAATAGAATAAATTGCAATTGTTCCAGTTTAGAAAAACACAGAAGTCAGGTGACATCTATACATAGAATTTCTTTAGATGCTCCAAAGCTCTAAAACTGGCCCCATAGCTGATTCCAGGAGAGTTCTATTTACCTGTGTTCTTCCCTGATTCTCTCCATTGAGCTGAATTTCTTCAAGCTGTTACCCGATTGCCTGTTGCATCTTCTAAAAATTGTTCACTACCAATGAGTTCATTTTATTTTTTCAGTGTCCATAGATTCTATTCCAAATAAAGTAATTATCTTTAGGGCAAATGATGGATCTCTGTTTTTATAGCTTGCTTTTTCCATTGTGAAAGAGACATGTGCAGTACTGTACCAAGGTGTGTGGCTGGACTGACTTCTGCTTTCCTCAGAGTAATGGTCTTGGGTGACTTAAGGGAGTGCTGGGCTGGAGCAGTAACCATAGTCTTCTCTGCTTGCAGCTTTTGGGGACAATTTTAAGCCATTTTGGTTAAGTGCTTTCTAATTTATGTTTTTAAAGGCAAAAAATATTCTGTATGATTAAAATTATTTAAATTTATTGGGGTTTGGTTTATGGCTTTAAAATGGCTTATATTCATATTGTATTCACAAAGAGAAGAATGTGTATCTTGCCATTTTGCAGTGAAGGCCAGAATAATATCAACTGAGTCAATAGGTAGAGATTTTCTTAATGTTTGTATCTATGCTGATTTTATGTCTATTTTATCAATTTTTGAGAGAATTACAGTTTTCCAGCCACTTGATTTTTTTTTTTTTTTTGGTACCAGGGATCAAACTCGGGACCTTTCACTTATGAGGCAAGCTTCAGAACCACTGAGCTAAATCCCCGGCAAGAATTACAATTTTATAATGTAATATACAACTATATAATAGCATATGCAACTTAATTATAATTATGGAATATTTACTTATTCTTTGTTTTCTATTATGTTTTGATTTGGCTACTTAAACCATTTATATTTAATACAATATTTCATTTTTAAAATTAAAAGCATCTTTATGTTAGTGTTTGTGCACTTATTATTTTATCTGTTCTATTTTTTCTTCTTTTTCTATTTCTTTTGGATGTAGGAAGTACTTTAAGATTCTAATTTTTTTGTATTGTCTCATTATATATAGTCTTAGGTTTATAAATTAATTTTTAAATTATCAGTCTATCTTCAAATCTTCATCCCTTTTTGTAGTATGCTGAACATTATAATATAATTCATCTTTTTTATCTTTGTTTTATTATTTCTATACACTTAATATACATACATGTTTTAAACTATAACTTGCTATACTACTTTGAACAGTTAATGGTATAATAATGAATAAAAGAGTAAAATTAGCTTTTAGATACATCCAGATACTGTACATGATTTTTTTCTATAGTTCATGACTGAGTGTGAATCAAAATTTCCACCTGGGTTAATTTTTCTATTGCCTGAAGGATTTTTATAAACATTTCTTACAATACAGGCATAATTTTAATGGAAAATATATGTTGTTTTCCTGGAAAAATAACGTGTCCATGTTTTTAAAATATTGTTTGAGAGAGAAGCAGTTTTGTTTTTCCAGTAATATATAAAAGCTTCTTCATTTTCTGCAGTCTCCAAGTTTCAACAATAAATCTCCTGTCATTGTTTTTCTTTTGTATGAAATGTGTCTTTTACCCCTCTGGCTGCATTTTAAAATTTCTATTTATTGTTATTTCAAGTAATTGTAATATGAAGATTTATATACTTCAACATATTAAAAAATGAACAGTCATCATTTCTTCAAAGCATTTCCCTCATTCTTTCTTTTATCTCTTTGGGAATCAAATTGCATGGATTTTACAACATTGTAATTTTTCTACATGTCACTGAAGTTTTTTTTCACTTCCTTTAGTCCTTTTTACCTTTTTTTTTCTTTAATTTGGAATATTTTTATTGTTATGTGCTCAAATTTATTATCTTCTCTACTGAATGACATGATGTGTAGTTAATGTCATTTGGTTGATTTTAAATTGACACTATTCTTACTGTTAATTTTTATCTCTAAAAATATAATTAAATCTTTAATGTCTTCCATTTTTATCCTTACCATGATTTCTCCTATTATTTTGTTCAGAGTATGCATATTTATAGTTACTATTTGTGTTTTATTTCATATTAAATATTTATCTTTTAAGTAGTAATTTATTTCTGGATTCAACAAAATTAATGTGAATATATTACTGTCTAAGAACATGACATTAATTAGTGATTCTGAAACTATATACATTTTATTTTTATGTTTAATTTAACTTTGCTCTATGTAATGTAATCTATTAAAAAATAAAAACAGACAAAATACAATTCATTTAAAAATACTAGATGCATCAGATTCATTACTATTTGGTTAGTTGCTTATAAAAGCTTCTAAATAAATTTCTAAACATTTATTCTTAGTTTCGAAATGTATCTCACCCTAAAATAATCAGACTTTACAAAGCAGCCCAGGTCCATAGTTCATGCTTTGGGTTATTCTGATGTAGAGCTTAGACCTACACACTGAACAATGGGTGATGAGGAGGTATTGTTTGTGTGGAAAAACATGTTTGTTTGTTTTTTTAAACATGATAGTAATAATCAACTGGAAAAAATATCTGTCCTCTGTAGGCATTCCAAATATCTGTCCTCTATAGTCCTTCCTTGTGTTTAAGTATTTACTTTTTCTCAGGAGATAAAAAAAATTGTACATAATTGTTTATGTGAAGGAAAATAACAAAACCACTTCAAGGTAATCTGATAGATATGTTTTTTTGCTTTGAATCTTGTTCATCTATTGGCCTTGGTTTTTTCCTAGTGATTAATGAGTCAAGTTCTGTACAGAGTTTAAGTCATTGTTTGGTAAGCACTTTAAAAAAAGAATGGCAGATTTGTCTTTTAGGCTACTGAAGTTTCTAACTGCTCAAAAAGATTTAGTCTTATGATCTGATTGTTCTTATATTGGACTTGAATTGTGGTTTCTCCTGACAAAAGGAAATTATACATGATAAAATAGATGGTTCTTTATTAAAACTTGAGTATTTTTTTGAAATATCACTAATCAAATAAACAAGCAAGTTAAGCCACAAAATACACCACTATTGTATTCTTTATTTTCCAACTGATAGAAAATGTATTGGAGCTACATAATTTATTGTCTTTGGCTTAGAAAAGCTAAACACAAAGCATAACTACAAAAGTTCATATTAGAAGATGAGATCATAGCAGAATGTGGTGGGGTTTTTCTTTAACTTTTATAAGAAAAAACATAAATCACTATGTTATATCCTTGGGCTCTTTTGTAGTATTTATAAGTAAATTACAGGATTCCATCTTAAATTTGAATTTTACAAAAATAAGAAATAATTGTTGATGCAAATATGTCCTATCAAGTATTTTTATTTACTAAACTGTCAAGTCTACTTTTCTTAAAACCTAATTTTTAGGAACTTGATGACTGATAAAAATTTAATCCCTATGAGACCTGCATCATTACTGAGAAGAAACTCTTAATTTTTGATCAAATAAGGAGGTTGCCTTGTTTATATTGTGTAGGGATAACATGCTGGAGATTTAATTAGCCTGAATGGCCTCTCCCTGATTTGGTGAGGTTACAGGGGACATCGCCTATGGAGCAGATCAAATGCAAACTAAACTTTCCATTAGCCAGAAATAAGCTTTTGAAGTATTAAGTGCCGCTATTTGGTGATGAGTAATATTATAACATTCTAACTGATGGGGACACATTTCAAAGGTTTTACTATGAAAGTGAAATATTTAGTACGTTGCAAATATTCAAGCTAAGTCTCATTAGAGATCCCAGTGAGAAGCCCGTGTGGACCAGAACTGCATGTGGGCACACAGATACCAGCCAGGGCCCCACCCAGACACCAGCAGCTTGGGCCACAGGCCCCAGCCAAAGACCCACCTCAAAAAGAGCTATGCAGGAAGACAAACAACAGCCAGAGGCCCATCCAGATACCATTGGTAAGTGCATGGAGACCCCAGCTGGAAGTCCACTCAGACATCAGCAACTCAGGTGCTCAGTCCCCAGCCAAAGGCCCTCCCAGACAACAGCTATGTAAGGGGGCAGGCCCCAGCCAGAGGTATGCCCACATACCATACCAAGTGTGTACAGGCCCCAGCCAGAACCCTGCCCATACAACAGGGCAGTGCAGGGATCCAGAGATCACCACTCTGAACCCAGGAATCAGCACAGTGTTGAGCAGCAGAGAAAAGGCCTCTCAGTGGCTTGGTGAGAATTGAAGACCACTGGGCAAGCAAAAAGTTACCTCAACAAAGGTGCCGCAGGCTGCATCTGTTGAAATGAGAAGACACATAAACAAGTCTCAAAACCAGACTTACAGATCACCTAAGGTACCCCCAAAGGGCAACAAGATAGAACAATCTGATACTCAACCACCTATACTCCTGAACTGACAACAAAAGAGGATCTGGAAAAAATGAAATCAGAAATAATTTCTCAGATAACAACAGAGATTTTGTCCACAGTGCAAGAAATGATTAATAACCCTAGAGCAGACACAAACAAAATTAGTTTTATTATATTAGATAAAAACATAAAAGTAAAGTAATACAAAATTATCACATTTTTGAGTCTATGTAAACCCATTAGTGATATTTCCATATGAACTAGATGAAAAAGTATATATTTAAAATTTTTTCATGTAATTCTTGTGGCAGCATCCAAAATATAGAATTGAACTTGTGTATTCTATTGCCATATATGTGAAGACAATTCCTGACTCCTGTTTAGCAACTTCATCAAATAGTGTGTCAGATCCTTGGAAAAATACTACTGCCCAAGTAAATTACTCATATGGGTGGAAATTAGGTTTCCCCATGGGAGGAAGAGTTGTTGTCATTATTTTTTCTTTAGAGATGTTCTATGGTTAATAACTTTCTACTGGCCTGTCCAAAATGGAGCAATTGGTCTTTATGATGAAGAAATAATCTGAAACTATCTAACTTTTCCCCAAAAGAATACACTGAGTATCCAAATGGCAAGTGACTACCACTGTAGGTGACAAATTAGCAGAAAATAGACTGATGGAGGATCAAGGAGATGTGGGTGCAATACTAAGGAGGAGCTGGGCTCAGTGTTGAGCTATTGAAATAAAACAACTTAGAATTCTTTGTAAGTTTTGTTGATAATAAGTGTACAAAGGCAACAACATTATCATAGTCAGTTATGGTAGTTATCATCAAATCTGTCCAGGTGTTCAGGCTTCTCACATGAAAATTACAATTAAACTTGAGAATTAAACATTTTGAAGGTTTCACTATTGATTTTCATAAACATATTAGTCACGGTATAAATTCTTTATGGTTTGGTTAATATATCATTTGCACATCTCTGGTTTATGAGAGCAGAAATTTGCCAAGTACATTTCTTACTAAAATAAATTTAGAAGCATGAAAGTAACATAGGCTTTCCCTTATTTCTACTTCATCATATTCCTAAAACATAGAAATCAAACAGAAAAATGAAAAAGAGGAAATATAAAGAGAAGGTGGCAAGAAAGAAAAGAATTAAAAAGCACAAGGCTTTATTTCTTCTGAATATGTCATTTTTGGAAAGTGGCAGTAGTATAATACCTAATAAACAGATGTCATTATAGCAGCCTAGCCACAGAGAATGACAATCCTTGAATCAACTCTTCCATTTGTCACACTGGAATAATTGCCTTATATTCTTTAATTTTATCATTTTATGTCATGTGTCCATGATATATTCTCTTACTCTAAAACATATTTATATACTAACAGTAACTTTATGTGTAATCACTCACAAAAAGGAAGGAAGGAAGGAAAGAAAGAAGGGAAAGAGGCCAGGTGGGAGGAAATGAAGGAAGGAAGAAAAGAAGGAAGACAGAAAAAGACTGAAAGCAAGCAAGCAAGCTAATTTAACAATTAATTAAAGATATAGTCAACATATATTTTAGTTATCAAATATCACCACTATAAGGGAACAGAAATTTCTTTTTTAAAAGATGATAACAAAGATAATTTTTTTTTTTCCCCGCACTGGGGATCGAATTCAGGACCTTGCTTTTGTAAGGCAGGTGGCAGAACCACTGAGCCAAATCCCCGCCCAACAAAGATAATTTGAATCACTTGATTCTGAAAGTAATTGCTTGCTTTATTAACATTTCAGATGTTTAAATATTGAAGTTCTTTGGAATCATTGAAATTTACTGATAAATAGAAATTAATTCTTTGGAATATTTCAAAATACCATGGGGTCATTTTATTGCAGAATAAACTTTCAGTCAGTAATTCTGGCTAGGGTAAATATGCTATTGATTGTAATTTCGAAGGTATGTTCATTTAGACTGACAGTTTTGAACCTAAAAAGTACTGAAAAATACATATTAATTATATAGTTGTTTACATTCCTTATTTTAATTGACAAAATATTTTAAATTATCATAGGAGCCATTTTACTGAAGAAAAAACATCTTTCAATCAGTAATTCTGGTGAGAGTAAATATGGTATCCAATGTGATTTCAAAATATGTTTATTTAGAATAATATTTTTGAACCCAAACAGCACTAAAAAATATGTCTTAATTATATAGGTGTTTATGATTATTTTAACAGGCAGATATTTAATTTTTTCATAAAACATTATTAAACTATTTGGATTCAATTGAAAAGACATTTATATAACCATTAAAATCATAAAACTATTAAATATTGTCTGCATTCTTCACCACTTTCTAATATTTATGAGTAGAAATTATTTTCAAATAGTGGTGATCTACAATCAAAATCTATCCATAATATTTAATCAGGGGTCACATTCATTTTATTGTGGACCCTCTTACACCTTAATGTACTCAAGTATCCACAGTGACAACTTACGATTTCCCTCAATAAATTCAACTACATTGTTAGATATTTCCATATTTTGTTATTAACAGTTTTTGGATTTCCTTCTTACTACTCTAATTTCAAGACAATTTCATACACAAAGATTTTCTACTTTTTACTATTAGCCACATAAATATGTCAATAAAATTTGTGCTTGA